TCTTAGGACCTTTGTACAGTTCTGACATTATAAGCGGCAGGTGCAGGGAAAAAAGCACAGAGGTAATTAACATAAAATTATATTACATTATGCCATCACCCAACAGGTGTACTAGCAGGTGATCTTTCTAATTATAATGCAGTCTAACGTTTTCAGGGCTATTATTCTTTCCACATAAAAACCTGTGAATACAAACCATTTTTACCTCATTGCACAGAGGCTAAAAGCCATGGCACAGTAATTGGAACATCCAATATTAATTCTCTGAATGCTCTTCTTGTACACTTCGGGGAAAAAAAAAACAACGAATGTAGGAAGATTAAAGTAAGGACCTATTTTAATATAGTCGGTCCTTTAAACTAATCCATCTGATTTCTTTGCAGTGGGACTGAAAACCCACAGCTCCTATTGTATCCAGGTCAGAGCCAAGAGGTTTTTTTTACAGCCTCTGGGAGAAAAGAAAGATGTAATGAAGGGGAAGGGAAGTTGAATTAGAAGCTCCAGTTCAACTCTACCCTGATATTCTGAGGTGTTATTGAAGTCCAATTAATTTTATAAATATTCTTCAGGACAACCAGTATTTTCAAGAACTAAAAGAAAATACTTTGAAATAGCAACAATAACATCAATGACAACAACAACAACTTATTTCCCTGCCCTTGTCTTGTAAGGAAACACGTCTCAAGGCAGATAGCTGGAAGTACTTCAACCCAAGAAACTAACTCACAGCTGAATTTCAGCAATGGGATTCAATCAGAAAACTGCTGGGATACCATGACAGAAAGAAAAATTGTTATATCTGGTACATGAGTAAGTCCAAAGTAAGACATTCACTTAAAAAATTTTGCATTTGTGAAAAAACCCCTAAACATTAAGGGAAGCTCACAGATTTCTTTTAGAGCTTTTAAAAATGTTGAATTTAACTTCAGCCTTCATGAACCCTCAGTGTATAATTATACTACAATAGGATTAGCTTCATTGTGTTAATTTATTATTGCACCAGGTAATTCCTTTACACCCCTCACATCAACCACCTAGGCTATTTTTGACTGATGCCATACATACAACCGACAAGAACTCAAGACATCAGCAGCCACCAAAACTTCCTGAAGTCTCCAAAAGTGACTTAGCTGCTGCTATAATTCAAACCAACCTTTTTGCAAAACCAAAATGAAGTTACTGGATGCCATGCAGAAAAGTAGAAATTTGTGGAGTGATGATACTGAATTCACCACACAAGCTGCAAACAATACAGACTCTTTTCAGAATGATCCCTCCTCTGTCTACACACCAACATGAACCATCTGCATTTCAATTCACCTTCTGTCTGGCAATTTTCTATAATAGGAACAGATATTTCTGATTTTCGAAGTGTGATTCCTCTGTCCTCCTCCAGTCAAGTTCCTCTAAACATGTTTGTGTTTCTTGTTATCTGTCCCCAGCCCAGCCTCCTTCACTCACCCACACCATACTGTCCTCCTGCTGCTGGAACAGTTTGTTCCAAAGACTCTTACTCAAATGGCCTAAATTCCCCAACTCCTGGCTTCTTTCCTGATTCCTCATTGACTCCACAGGTCCTCTGTGGATCATTCAAGGTAATTAAGTCTGAGATCTGCTTAATTCACTGTCTATGTGAATTCATCTATTCATCATTCATCATTCTATGTGATGAGAATTAAGTCACTGGAGCTTTGACAGAGCTTAATAAGGGGGTCCAGTGGGTTACCTGCATGTGTATGAACTACCTGTGGCAGTACTGGGCTCACACTTTCCAGTTTAGCTGAGAAGCACTAAAAAAAAATCCCCCAAAACCACTGCTACAGGCCCTGATAATAAATGAGGAAAATCCCTGCTATCTTCTGGAGTTATTACCTCTAACCTATACAGTTATAGAAAAGAGAACAGAGCAAAGTTGAATATAGTCTAAGTACTTTCCTCATTTCCTTACAGAGAATTCTTCTCTACCACAGTGAATGTACTTTCCCCAGGTACATTTAGTTCTCAGCCTATGATTTTTTTCTGCATTGTTCCTTCATCTCTTCTTCCTCTTTTTCCACTCAAGGTCTTCATGTTCAATTCTTCCCCATAGTCTAAATTCTCCTTATGGATTGTCCATGCTCCATCTTTCTTAATCCATTAGGCACAGAAATGTACTGACCTCCCCAGCCAAAACCATTCCTCCCTTTACATTTGATGTGTCTTTGGCTCTTCATGCCCTTCTGTCAGGTCAAGCTCAACTCCTGCTTTTATTCCAGGTAGGCAATTTCCTTCTGATGACCATGATTCCAGCAAGGGGTGCCATTAGGAGTACAACTCCCTGCTTTCAAGTGCTGTGATGACACAGAATACAGACAGGAGGTGAATGACAATGCAGAATCATGGAATATTCTGAATTGGAAGGGACCCACAAGGATCAGGTTCAAATCCTAGTTTTGAGACAGGAGAGGCATTGTGGAAAATAAATTATATCAATAATGTAATGCCTCTGCAAAAAAGGCAAACAACAAACTCCAGTGTATAAAGAATGATCTGTGAGATCATGCTTTCACTCTTTCCAGGAAAGCCCCCACTACAGAACTGTGCTTCACTTTGGGCACAAAATTTTTAAGAAATATGCAGACCAGATGGAGAGAAGGCAGAGGACAGCAGAAGGAATGATCAGATATCTAGAAACTATGATCTGAAGAGAAAGACTACATCAATTAAAATAGTTCTGCACAGGCAAAAATAAAATAAAGGGAACATGCTTTACCAAGGAGGTGGAAGGGGCAGAAGTACTTCATGTCCACTGGGGACAGAGTAGTGAGTGTCAATGTTGAAGTAAAGAAAGGGAAATTTAGGCAAGACATGAAGGGAAAGTTGCTTGTGGTACAGACAGATGAGACACTTCAGACAGTATGCCAAAACTCTCCAAGAGAGGCCATGGAATGGTCAGACTTGAGAGAAAGCACAGATGCACATTTGTCACAACTGGTGCCAGTCCAGCTGAGGCTGATCTTTGGAAGAGGAGCCATCTAGAGAGAGCCCCCCAAAACTCTGACCTGAGGCACTGGATCAATAAATAATGCAGAGCAGCTATTACACAGATTGCTGGGATGGGAGATAAGAGCAGAAGTGCAGGATGCATTGAAATTGTAATGGCATCCATATGCATTAATGCAATGGGTTATGCCAGTGCTTTGTATTGACAGTCACAGCATGAAACAGCAGCATAAGCCACTTGGAAAAACCTGCTGCACTCTAGAAAAAGCCCAGGAATTCTTATATGTAGTGTAGCCATTACAGAAAAAATGTCATTACGAGACCATAAATGACTTGATTATTTCCTGTCCTGGCATCAAATCCTCAAGGATCAGAAAGATGCCAATCCTTGGCTGGAGGAAATCAGGACACTCCTAATAGGAATATCAAAATATGTGGAATAAAATCCTAGTAATAGAGCATGGGAAATCACCCACCACCCCCCCCCCCCCCCCCCCCCCATGAAATATCATCTTTGAGGTTTCAAACTTTCATATTAATTTAAAAATGTAAAAATTATACAGGCCCTTCTGACTTCAGCATGGATCTCCATGGGCAGAAAGCTGTGTCCACATGGACAATGGAGGATTATGAGCTCTTTGCAAAGGTCTCAACAAAGAAAACCCCAATTGTATACACTCTTTGCAAGTCAGTGCAATTAAAAGAAAAAAAGCAACTGAATGAACAACCACCTGTAACATATAAAGACATTTATCAACACCAAAACACAGAGAGTTTTATGCAGATATAAATCATTAATATTGAGTCAAACTTTTAAACTTTTGCACTAAATCTACAACCTTCTACAGGAATTGTATTCTACTTTTCCTCTTTTGCATTTGTATGCACAAACATACGTACACATACATATGTATATATCTGCATGCAGCAGCCTGTCAGTGTCACCCAACCTATGAAATTCTATAGACAGCTTTTGCTCATAAATCTGGAAGACACTTTTTCTTTCAGTAGAACAAACCCTTAATCTGGTTTCAATGAGTTGTAAAAGACAGCTCCTGTGATTCACCCCCTCCCCTCAACAGAAGCACTGCTTGTTAATCCAGCAGGAAATAACATTTGCCAGGATTGACAGCTGTGGATTTGTATTCAATTCCCAAATTAAAAACCAATGACAGTGCCTAGTTCAATGGAGTTGTCAAGTAAAATAAAGAAAGTAAAAAAACCTGCTGCTTTCTCTGTAATACAAACATACATACATTTTGGATAACAATACTAAAAGCTGGGAATGTGATATAATAGGATTAAAGCTGTGTGCAAAGTTTCTCTTTGTTGTTTTTTTTCACCAACAACTCACATTTTGTATTTTTTCACGTACATATTAATTTTTCCCTTTACTCCTAATAAATGTTTTAAAACACGTTAAAAACTATTTCAGTAACTATTTGTAACCGTGCAAAAATACAATGTAATAATTTTGACAGTCATATCCGCAAAATCTTCATATATAACAATAATTATTGTCCAATTCAAATAAGCTTTAATTACAGACCAAATATTATGAAGAGATCTAATGCCACAGGTCCTCATGCTTCTGCAAAATCATGTTAAAGGTTAATCAGAGAGCATCTTGGGCAGTTTCTATTGTTAATTTGAGTAATAAGAATCAGAGGTGGAAAACACCCAGTATAGTAAAGATGAGCTGTTTTCTAGTGCTGTGCCAAACTCTGAAGAGCACAATGCAACTTCTTCCTTTTCTAACAGTCTTTGGAATAAGTCACAACAGTATGATTCTTCCTGGGAATTCAACTCCATAATTATCATATAGATCATATATTTCTAATTGCTTATATTTTTGTAAATACTCCTCTCACTTGCTAAAAAATTACACCTTTCTTGTACCTTCACATGTCCACGTTCCTCCAACACTCTGCTTAAACAAGGCAAGAGGGAACACCCAGGCCACTTCAGCAATCTGTGAAATTACAAAATGCTAAGTATTGTAACTTGCTGCTCTTTACCTGTAAGAAGTGATCCTCCTGAGGTCTGCAATGGAAACACGATAGCCACACTCTTCCAAAACTTCCTCACAAGCAATTTCTTCTAAAGAAAGGCCTGGCTTGTCCACAATGCCAGCACAGAGTTCATAGGTCACTCCAACCACAGCAGGTAAGGGATTTTCCAGGGAAGGGAAGCTCTCCTTGTCCTGATTCTCAAAGACTTGAGGATGATGCCTTTCTATTTCACACATGTAAACAGCTTAAAAAAAAAAAAAAACCAAAAGAAAAAAGAAAAAGAAACAAGGGGCAGTATGTTAGTCTCTTCATATTAAATAAAAAAAAGGGTGGCAGACAAATTTTGCCTGGAAATTAACAACCATGAGAGTACTTGAGAGTAACAAGGAATTCAGCTGTGTTATCTGTTAAAATAATGACACACAAAACTGGAATTTTAAAGAACAAAGGTTCTCTTGCCATGTCCGTAAAATTATTCTTTAAACTCTTATTTGTACTTACATCATCTGAAATGAATTCATGCACACCTTAAAATAAACAAAAATTGAAAAAGGAAGCTTGTTCATCCAAGAAATCGAAGTGCCAGAAGCACCATACAGCTCCCATTTGTTGGGCAATGCAGATATTGGGATTTAATTTAAACTATGCAGTTATCTTGCAGGAAAGTTGGGTTGCACATAAAGTACCATGTGCACAATGATGAGTCTTTCAGCCTGTCAACTCAGCTGTTATTTAGAAAGGGTATGAAAAGCATGTATGCTTGTTTGAAAAAAAAAAAATCCTCTTTTGAACATACAGTTCCTTGCACAGATTCCTGTGTGGAGTCTGAAAAAGACTTCTTGAACTAATCTACAAACAGCTGCCACTGTAATGCACTCCTAAAGAAAGTGCAAATGTCAGATTTTGGTCCTTATTTAAGCAAAACCTCTCACTGATGTCAACAGAAATTTTGCCTGAGTGAGAACTGCAGGACTGGATGTCAACACACAAAGAATCCCTACTGACAGACAACTCCAGATCATTGCAACTTTAATATACAGGCATAATTCCACTTGTTTTTTCCTTGAAATTTCCTTATGTCTATCCCCTTGCTTTTCATGAAAGGTTTCCAAGAGAGTGTTATAAACCACCCTGAATAAAACTATTTTAAACTTTGAACCTATTTTTATTCCATTAAAATAGTTTTCAAACATATTTCACATACACATAACATGGTTTTTACATTGTTTTTTCTTTTATTTCCCATTTTAAATCTCGCAGAATTGATAAATTTTTGTCCTTCCAGATACTGTAGCTTTGTATTTCTTAAAAAAAGGTCTCTGGAGAAATGTTGTTGCATAACAGTGAAGTTCCACAGTCACTTCTTAAGCACTTGGTCTCTGAGGCAGAGGCTACACCCCTGCAATTTGTGCCTGGGCTCTTTCTGCAGTGCTCATTTTGACACCTCAGAAGTGCAGAATAGCAAGATCTGCACTTGAAAGGGAGATGTCAAGATCAGTCCAATACCCCAAATCTAATCTTTCCCCAGAAGTTAAAACTTCCAAAGCTGCTAGTCTTAGGTATATCCAGGTCTTTGAGATTCAAACAGGTTTGGATTGGCGTTTCCATTTCTTACTTGAGAGACGTGATTTAGAGCTCGAGGGTTTGTTTTTTTTTTAAAGTGCAGCATGAAGCCAGAAAAAATATTCCCTGCCAGCTCTAAGGGACAGCTCCTTGAAGGGTGTCTATTGTCATTATTCCAAAAACTTCTAAAAGCTAGGAAAATTATCATAAATGACAACCACATCCAAGATTTCTCTGAGACGAGCCAAATCCTCTGAAAGTTTCATTTCTTTTTTAGTACTGACATACCCATATCAGATAATTTAAAAAGGAGCAACACATGCATCCTTTAAAGGCTTTGAATACTAAAACAGGATGGAGGTAAGAGCGTGGGGTACAGACATATGAAGCTGTGACTTAAAAATTCTTCTGTATCCCTGAAAACCATCCTGTCATTCAATTGGGCACATGCAATTCTCCTCCCTCAGCACAACTGGCTGCACGTAGATCAAAACCTACATTCCCAGAAGGACCTAATTCAGACTCCTCTTCAGAGCAAAGTCCTGTGATATGGCCACACTTCAAGGGCAGGAAAAGTTTTTCTCTGTAGATAAGGAAGAAAAGAAGCAGTACCAGCCACTTCTGTAAGAGCCTGGATATTAGAGCATTCACCAAGGAGTCTGATTATGAATTTAATATCCCCTGGTTTGCAAAAGTTCAAACTCAACTCTCACAGATAAGCAAAGCCTAGAAAGCCAAGCTGCCTTCTAATGTCAGGGAACAGAGAACCTCCCATAACTCTCTTGAAGGTGCAAAACTGACATGCAAAGAGATGCACTGGATAATAAAGAACTGGATGGAAAAGCAGTGTGTGACCCACTAGCTAAAGCACACTCTACAGAGGGAAACCTGTCACCCTCCTCTTCCTCACCACAGGTTGTCACCTTACTGCAAATCCACAAAGAGTTTGGAAAGCAGAATCCAGAAGCCCCAGCACAGTCACCCACCCACTTGTCCCATGTCTGCTGTTCCCTTGTCTTCCGATGCTTCCTTGGCCAGGAACTGCCTCTGCACCACTGCTGGGCAGTTCCTCCATGGCCAGATGGACACGGCCATGAGCGGCAGCACGGTGAGGAACCAACCTGTGCCAGGGCAGCTTCTGGCTGCACATCAGGAAGAAGGACAACAGAAAGGCTTGTCAGGCTTTGGAAAAGGCTTCCCAAGGAAGTGATGGAATCCACATCTGGACTAATCACCCTGGAGCCACTTGGCTGTAACAGTTTCCACTCAGAGTGGAAACTCCAGTAGAATCGATGTTCTCACCTTCCTTTCTGTAACGTGGGACAAAGGATAGATGGTTCAACCAAATGGAGCAAAGAAAATCACTGCTATTATTAAAAGCAGCCTTTGCAGGTGACACATACAGGGACATGTTTGCTGTCCCTAAGCAGAAGAAAACAGTAGGGACTGAGGAGCCAGTGGGAAGGCACTGTCTGGGAAGGCGCTGGCTCCTCTCTAAACTTCTGACTGCACTGGTGTTTCCTACCTCCTGAAACGGAACATGGCTTATGATTCAAATCTTCGATACTGTTTATTTTAAGTCAGTGGAAAAACAAACATCACAATCCATTGAAACGTCATTATACTTACAGTTAATAAACCAGAGTGTGTTTTCATAGGTCCCAACCCTAGCAACATATAATTTTATTATATTTGAAAATGTGTGGTCAATTGTCTACCAAAATAAGCATTGACCAATACCTTTGCAAATTAGTCATGGGTGAGGTACATCTCCAGAGATGCTTATCTTTCTTCTCTCTGCTCCTCCCAAATGTGTGATTTCATGATCATTCAAGATGATCTAATCCCAGAGCACACTGTTTGCCTCACTGGTTGTGTGCTTCTGCCACCCTCAAGTCAGCATGGACTCCTTCAGCTCCCTGCTCCTCAAAATCTGTCTGTAGCCATTCTGCCGTGGCTGCATAAGGGCTGCTGCTGCCAAACAGAACGGGAGGGATGAGTGCCTTTACAAGCAGCACAGACACCAGTGGGAAAAGCTGCTCCTGCCAGCACAGCCTGGGAAAGGCGAGCACACATGGCACCAGCACACGTGCAGGGGACGTGCCTGCAGAGCGAGCGGCAGCTGCTCCTCCCAGCAACGAGAGATCGCCTTCCTGGTGGGACCCTGGTGGATCTGGCAAGGAGAAAAGCCTCAGCCTTTGTCTAGGCTTTGTGGAACAGGCACCAGGGCAGACAATTACCATGGGATGGAGATATAACTACAAATATAGGGATGTGAGTAAGGGCAGGGCATGGCTGTGATCACTGAAGTGCTGTGGGGTATCTGACTGACCACTGGCCAGGTGTCTGAGCAGCTCCAGCCCCTGGAATGCTTTAACTCCAGTCTTTTGAGGCTGATTTGACACCTTCATAGAGATAATGCAATGAATGTGTTGCTGCTCAGTACATATATATGTGTGTGTGTGTGTATATATATATATGTATATATATACATGCACATGCTTCTCCCTAAGATTGCCTCAAAGAGAGCAAGAGCTGTGGGAGCCATTTATGTGCTGGCAAATAAAAGACAGTGGATTAGTGATGAACAAATAACCAAACACTTTACACTAGTCAAGTAGCACTTGATGAGAAGGATGCACTCTCAATGTAACACTGCTGCACAGCACTGGAGAGGTTGTAATCACTGTCAGGAAGAAAGGGCAGTGTGACACTACCCTAGAAAGTTTTCTACAAAGTCTACCATGAGCAGTCTTGAAACTGTCTCTTAGCAACAGTCAGTGAAATACCTTGTCATTTCTTTTAATTAAAATGCAGTGAATATGCATTTCATTTTTAACTTCCAGAAAGTAAATATTGCTTTGAATTAAAAGAACTGATACAAAAACTCAGAAAAAAAAATTGTATTAACCTAAATTCATAATAACTGGTAAAATGAAGTTGTCCACATACTGGTGAAAAAGCATACGGTCCTGAATCTCCCTCATTTCAAATTCCCAACTACACAATCCACAGTAAGACAGTACAAATAAAAAGAATATTTAAGACAAAACAAAACAAAAAGGAAAATACTGTGCTTCTGTACAAGTAGGTCAAGAAGGAACTTCAAATTAAATCAATTTCTTGCATGATCATTGTAGAGTTGTTTGTAATTTAATCGAAAAAAGGACAATAACCAGCCCAAGAGGAGAATGCAAGACTACCCTGATCATTCATTTAATCTGTAATGGAAATTTCCCTGGTTAGAAATTCTGACTGACTGAAAGGGATGGGCTATCATACAAAGAAACAGAATATAGAACAAAGATTTTTATCACCACAGATGCACCAAGTTTTAACTGCTAAAACCTTAAAAGCCTGCTTTACTAGAGAGCAAAAGTAAATGTAAAAGAGAGGATTACCTGGGCGGAACTGCTTCACCACAACAAAGCACTGCCGAGAAGTATTAAAGATCAGGATTGACACACTGGGGAGGAAGATAAAAACACCAAAAGATCAATGCTTTATGAGGGATTAATGCAGAACTATTCAACTTACATCTTGTGAATTTAATTTCAACTACATAAATACATGTAAGACTTATTGCTAAATCCGTGACACAGCAAGGTCCTTGTCCAAAATCCATCTAGAGGGATAGATAATGGATCATGTTCCCAAAGCCCATGACAATTTTGCTCAACATTAAGTCTCTTTTGTCTCCTGGCATGCAAAATAAGCACCAATCAATTCCTTCTTCCTAACAGGAACACCACCACCACCCCCTCTTCCAGTCTAAGAACACTGGTACGAGATAGCAAAAAATCCTTACAAATAAAAACATTTTTCCCCTTATATCAGTCTCAAATTAGGATGGTCAAAACCTCAGGCACAGTCTAGTCTCATTCAGAGACAGTGACTTCTGTATAAACACAGAGAATCTCCTATCTGCAGCTTCTTGCTGAGCTCAGGTTTCAAAACAGATACCATCCAAGCCCAATTTTGTACAAATTTAATCCAGTAGCTTCTCCTGCTACATTCAGTGGTTGCTTGCAGTGTGTGTCATGGGGACACCTGAGGGGCTGAGTATTTGGACCTGCTCTGGATGTGTAGAGTACTGATGCTCTCTGCTTGCCTAACACACTCCCAGGTTTTACTAATTGAAAGTTTAAGAAAATGCAGACAAAAGTTTTTCTCCTTAGTTGGTTGCTCACTGCCACGTGAAAAAACAAGTGTATATTTTGCTCATTACCATGGCAGCATTCTCTCATTTGTTCTGCCTCACTGTATGCAATTGAGACGTTAATTCATTATTCTATGAATTCTACAATGGATTAGACTCACAATGGCATATTTGCAGGGCTGAGTCAAACTTTCAACTTTTCTTGTAAAAGAGCTGTATATTTATTTTCACTATTTGATTTAATAATGAAGTCTCAAGCTGCCAAAGAAAATGCTATCTGATGATTATTAAAAACAATGTCAATGTTTATTATAATAATATATAAAAACCCAAACAGAAGGGAGAAGTCCAGATGTTAGTATTTATATTCATGCTTGCTATTCTCAAAGACCTGTACTGCATATTGATGGCTTCCTGCCCTGGGAGATGCCATTTGCAGGCAATTTTAAAGCAAAGGTTTTAGCCTTCAGAGAGGCTGGAGGAGAACATTCACTCTGGTTCCTGGCACTGGGGTTCTTTCTGGAATATATGGGAGTTTGTGCTGGAAGAAATGAAGTTAAACCACAGACCATAATAGTTTTAAGGTTACTTAAATATTATTCTTTTATTCTTTGATTTTTTTCCTTTTCATGACTGATCCTCTCCCCAAAGCAGAAGTGTCTGAGGGCAGACACTGCTCTAAACAAAAGGGGGAAAGGAATTACTGCCACTGAACCTTTGTTGTTTTGTCCACGGGCACTGCCTGAAAGTGGAGAGAGCAGCAGCCTGAAGCTGCTGATGAAGAGTGGAAGCTTCCTGAAGCAGATGGTTGCCCTTTACCTTTCTTTACATCCACCACCCCAGGCCCAATCTTTCCTTTGGCTTGCCTTCTTCAGCATGTCTCATTAAATAACTCATACCAACTCATTAAAAATGGCTCAGCTATTAGACATTATTTTTTTCTAGGAGTCAATCACTTGAGATTTTTATGGAACAGATGGGAAAATTAAAAACAATCTGTCAGAATTAAGGAACAAGATCAAATTAGCTGGAAAGGAGTAGCAGCAAGTTATTACAATTGTCTGCTTCTCACACCATCTTGAGATGAGAGGGTACAGAAATGGCACAAATCTGTAGAACTTTCTATTTAATTACTTCTAATTTTCTGAGAGACTGACAAACAATTTTGAACAGAAATGTACATTCTTTAGCAAACCACAACACGCAAGCTCTAATATTTCCTGTCAGAGTTGGAGAGTCATGGAGGAGAAAGTTCAGAATTATACCTTCTTAGGAGGGGGGTAACACTGGGAATGCCATTTGCTGTTTCATTGTTCACAAGACACAATATAACATGAAATATTTCCACAGGTCACCAGGTCTGAAAACCCACTGAAGGCTGCATTCAGGACAGTTATCTGAGTATTACACAAAGTTAAAGCAAGACAGTTCAACTGAGCTAAGTGGAGGAGCCTCACTCCCATTTTCAATGGGTTTCTTTATAATGACCCAAAATGTGGGTTCACGTGATTGGTGTGGCCCATAAGGAAAATATTTATCTTCTGGAGTTTTAAACCATCATACAAAGAATTCACTACAAAATCAGTTTGAGATTGCTATTTTTACAGATTATATAGGCTACTAAAAAGAACTACTACAAATCCATTAGTAGGTCCAAACACATCTTTCAGTGGTGCCATACCATGGGGTATTACAGAAGTATTTGATGCTTCAAGGTAATTCCCTTCAAAATATTACAACCAGATCTATTTTAGGGTATTATATACACAGCTTTTAAATGAGGAGTAAACATACAAAAAATTAAAACATCCAAAAGACTTTTGTGAGCATCTCCACACCCAAAAGATACAGAAAAGAAATGAAGCCAAAATTGTACATTTGGGAAAAACACACAGAAGTACTGGGAAAAAAAAAAAAAAAAAACCCAGCCACACTCCCTAAAAGAAGGTAGTAATACTATACAAGAATTTAATCTAAAATGGATATCAAAGTCCTAATGTAGCAACAAGCTTCTTGTCTCAAACAGGAGCACAAGAGCACTTTGTTTATTATATTTTACAAAGGAAAACAATACCCAAATATAAAAGGATCACGATAAATCCCAAGCTTCCATCCATGCCTTAAAACAAGCTGTAACACCTCTGAACTAAGAAAACACTCTCAGCTCAGACCTGCTAATCTTTACACTTGATGTGGCAGATCACTTTTACCATATTCCAGAGGTGTGGATGTTTGCTGGCTATTCCTCCAGCAGCTGACTCTGGGGGACACCAGAGGTGTAAAAGGAGAGCTCAGGAATGCAAACACCACTGCCCAGTGAAGGAGACTCGGCTCCTCCACACCACATCTGTCGTGGCTACATTAGGGACTACAACCAAACAGAAAAATAACTTTTTAAGACATGGCAGGGTGTGTACAGTGTCTTCCAGGGCTGGTGAAGACCACAGACCTACTCAGCCTTCAGCTCAACCTCATCCTCAACCTCCCACTGCAGTAGCTCCCACTCACTTTATACATAAAATAAATCACTACTCTAATTACAGTAGTTCTCCCCAAAGAAAGCTTGCATGTAAACAGCTTACTGTGCAATGATGTAGAATATTGTTCTTTCTATAAATATGGCAACAATTAGAGTAGCTTTAAAGTATTTTAAGAAAGATATGTACCTAAAATGGCTCATACAAAGAGCATTTAACCTGTACTTGAGCTGTTGTTGCACTGGCATGTGTCTGGTCTTGGCACCTAACACAATGTTTTCTGAAAGGGATTCCAACTATTCAGCCAAACTCTCATGTAGCATTTAACCATTTAAACTTAAAAAAAGCCCCGAGTGAAATAGGTATTAGGATTCTCTGATGGATATTTGACTTCTCTAAACTAAGGCAATGTGCAGAAATCAGAAGCTGACCCAAGGACACTGCAACATAAGAGTGCAGAACCTTAATTCCTCCTCCACCTTTAAGACTCTTATGAAAAGAGGTAACATCCACCTGAATACAGCCTTTACAGCTGAAAACACCACTGAGAATAGTTTAGAAAATGACTCCATTGTGTGCCACAGAAAACTACTTCCACCATTTTCCTTCCCCCAACATAGTACAGCTCTGTATTTACTGAAATCACAGTAACTGATGCTTTGTGATATTCCAGCTCAGCAGACATTTAGCTAGAAATACTGCAACTTCACACTCTCAAACTGAGAAAGGAAGGTGGTGTTTCATGGAGCAGCACAGGGCATGCAGCATTTGACCACAGCAGCTCTGAGGTAGGGGACAGATGAAAACTGACATCCTGTTAAAATGTGCACACACACATATGGACCATGCAAAGTTAATTCTTTTGAAATGCATCCCAGAAACTGAGATCAGCAAATGAACTTTACCACAGCTTCTTAAATGTGTACTTCTAGGGCTCTAGTTAATCCACATGCAACTGCTGACACTTACTAATTGCTTTTCATGAGACAAACTTTCAAAATCCTTTAATAAATAAAGATGGATTCAGTCTTTCTTTATTCTTAAATGCGGCCTTAAAGCTGACTTAACAAACGTGAATTTGTAAACCAAAAAATAATTTTAGAAAATCCCCACAGTACAGCAATAGCAAAGACAGGGACAAGACTCCTGTACTTCTGTCAGTGAGCTAAGACTCTCAGGGCTGGAGATGAGGACTTTTAATGACAATCCTGTACTAATAACTAAAATACTAATACATTAGGTAAATTATGAGGCAACACAGGCAAAGAAATGGACCTTTCTTAAATCCTTGTAAGAGCAACTCAGGAGCTGCTTGTGCCAAGCATGGATATGTGTGTGACACACACAAATTGTGATCAGAAATGAACAGTGGAAGATAAAGCACCTAAAAAAAGACTGATATTAACATTGAAAGCCAGGACTTCTCAGCTATTAACCTCAGCCACTTTCATCTACTTTTAAATGTTAAAAAGTATCTCAAAATTAGCTTAAAGCTTGTAATACTGGTAAATGCTGCCTACAAACAATAATCTCAGCTCCATGGGGGAGACTTTAGGAACTAATGATGTATGATTTCTAAAAAACCACAATAAACTAACCAAGCCAAACTACCAAAACCCCTCCAATACTACTAATACTGTGCCTGCAGTATTTCAGTTACCATTCTCAATGAAGACAAAATAAAAGGAATGGCAGATTCCAAAAGGAGACACAAAAACGGCATGCAGGAATAAAAGCAAGTAAGTGATTTAATCAGCCCCCTTGACTCTCAACAGATATTTGGTTTTAAAAATCCCTTTGATACAATCAGAAGAAAATAATCAAATGTAG